CTTTCCTGAAATACCTATCGATTTCGATTCAGCCAGGCCACACTAGACACCTACAGACCGGTTTCGAGCTCTTTGAATCTCATCAGTTCAGGGCAGTCTCCAGCCAGCAGTCCTAAGACCGCCGACTAAGCGTAGCCTAGCCAAACAAAACTCAAGTAGGCATTATATTCCCCCAGAGGCGTCTTTCATAGACAATATGAAAGCAACGCCATCTGAGTAGAAAAGAAGGAAAGAAACACTCCAAAACTGAAATTCCCATACGGGAGTGGCTGGTGCCCGACTGGCGTAATTTCTGGGGGAATATAATGTCTACTTGAGTTTTGTTTGGCTAGGCTACGCTTAGTCGGCGGTCTTATCACTGCTGGCTGGAGACTGTCCTGCACTGATGAGAGTCAAAGAGCTCGAAACCGGTCTGTAGGTGTCTAGCGTGGCCTGGCTAAATCTGAATCAATAGGCATTCAGGAAAGAATCACTTGTATCAGTATTCGTTTTTACGAGTCGATGCATAGATTTCGGGAGGATGTGATTCATGTTGATGTTCTGCGTGGCATTAGCCAGGAAAGTATTCGTTTTTCGTCCGAAATCTACCATTGTTGTTCATTTCATGAACATTGTGTGGATATGACTTGAAGCTTTTTGTATTTATTCAACATTTCATTCCTCATTGTGGCTATTTCGTAGTTGAAAAATTATTTTGATGTTCATGATTAACATACTTTGGAGGTCGAAACCGCTTCTTATGTCGTATTCAAGTTTTATATAACATAATAAGTGATATGAGATGTCGATCAAACATGCACTTCATTCTTAATAAATATTTTGTAGACTTCAGACATCACAAGTACCTACAGGTAAGTTTATGAGTTTCATGAAACGATACTGTATTGATAATTATTTCATTTTCAGGAGATTTTGGCTAATAGTCCATTGAAAGAATTTTTTTTGTGATCTTCCGAATTTTTGGAAATGACAAATTTTGAATTAGTCATTTTGGTATATTCTCTGAGCATTGAGAAATCTAGTGAAAAGTGAATGTTGATGTAAAAGCAAGATATATGTCACAACAATTTCCACCCATGTATTGGTATAACTAACTCCTATCATTCATCATCCTCAAAGCTACAATAAAAATCTAGATCTTTGATTTATTGTGAACAATAAGGATTGACAGTGAAATACAAATAAAAAATGAAAAAGCAATGTTAGTATGGAAAGAAAACGAAAATATGAATGCTTTACCTTTTTGATTGCATAATTTTCATTTCAATCATTTCAATTATCACTGCTCAGGGACATCCTGTATATAACGATGAAATTCACCCCTAAGTAATCATCAAGTTATTTTTAATATCACCTGTATTGTGATTTAGTAATAAATAAGAAATGAGACAAACTCACCAATATTTTCAATTCTTTCCGAAAAAAATGTATATATGAATTCATGGATATCGACAGTATATTTTTCAATCAAGTGTATCATGTAGGAACGTATTGAAAGAATAAATTATTTTTGTGTATACCCTGTATATTTTAATTTCCCAACACTCTATTTTTTTTCATTTCATGAAAAACGTTGTATATTTTATACTAATGCGATTTAAAATGACATCCACATCAATCATGCAGACCCATATTATTCGATCATTCAGTATCGAATTGTATCGATTGCAGTTGAAGCTAAATTTCAAAAGTATGACTCGGCGAGTGACTATCTCAGAATGCATTTATGTAATGGGTGATAAATCGGGATGATTAATTATTCTAACGGATAATTTGTCAGTAGTATGTTTGATTTTGTGCTGTGAGGGTGTACATGTTTCGTTTGTATTGTTATATTATAAAGAATTTTTCGGAAAAAGTTGTGTTATCGTGGAGTTTGTGTTGCTAATAGTATGTGAATAGCCGATACGAGTTGTTTTGGTATACATATACCTTGACGATCGTAAGAAAAATCGAATCAATACATATCGACAGCACAGAAGATTTGCTGCTCAGCTGTGACTTTTTGGATTTGGAATTTTGATTTGGGATGTGAGTATGCTTTCATGTTTCAATGTTTCATAGACGAATGTAGATAAATAACTGTTCGATTAAGTACATATCTAACATTAATAATATAATAATAATAATAAATGTTTTCATTGGCCAGACATTAGATCAAATAATATGTACAGGTTCGGAATTTGCTCTTCCACTCAACCAGGCATTACAATTTGAAAAAAGCTGATTAACTGTGAATATGGATTAGGTGCTGTCGAGGGCACTGTATTAGTTATATTTACAGGTTTTGTATTGTCCTATAATATTTGCGAAAGAACATATATTTTTTTTACAATCATTCAGTTTATTTTACATAGTTCCTTGCATAACAGTGCAATATTTTCTTCAACACGTTCTACCAACCAAAAGTTGTGATTTGTTGGAGAATTTCAATGATGATTTTCCCTGTGAAATCGATAAGCGAACGAGCAAATCGAGTACACCGAATACACATTCCAAATTCCAGCATATTTTCGCTATGAATATTAAACATGATTACATAAATTTGAGAAGGCACCGAGCTCATGACATTATTGTAGCTGTTATGTAAGGAATTCTGAAAGTCTATATCGAGTGTTAGAAGTTTATTAGTGGAAACTAGAGATACTAAACACTTACACCCCGGTTAAGTCGAGACAATCATTAACTCTGTGAACTTCACTCATTGGCGTAGCGGGGGATGGAGCCCAAATTTAAATATACTATTTAGTAAATTAGTTTCAACTAGCAAATTCTTTGCATGAGGTGGTTATTGTTACAATGTATACAGGGTGTTATTCATAAATAGTAGCCATACTACGAGGGGTGATACTTTGTGTGATTCTAAGATGAAAAATTCATGTGAACTAGAAGTGCACCGTTCTCATTACAAGGTGTCGAAGTTTTTTTCTTGAATCGGTTTTTCGTAAATCGTGGAAATATGTTATCCAATTCTGTTTCAATATGGCAGTGTTGTTGTAGGAGTAAAAGGGGTTAATTTAGCTATGATTATACTGGTACTTCTTAGATGGTACTATTAACTATTAGGAATAGAATTCTATAGCAACCGTTGATATTAACATAAAGATTTATGATATATACAATTAAATGGGCCACTTATTGTTGGTATTTGTTTTAAAGGTATTTGCTGCTCTTGGAGGAAATCAACATGATATATGGAGGATATCTTCATGTTTTCATACTTTAGGTGCTTATGTATGCACAGGGTGTCCTAAATTCGAGGGGTATCATTGGGATCTCGGTAACCATAACAGACACAAAGTCGGTTAAATTGGGGCAAAGTTGCTGATCAAAATGCTGCCTCAAAAGTTCGGAAATTCCGATAACTTCCGAGGATATTTGAAAAAAACGAATCTCCGCCATCCGCCATTTCGTTTTTATTTTTCTCTGACTTGATTTGAAGTGATATGACAAAATGAGTTTCATATTGTCATTTCCACTTTTTCCGCTCTATCCAATGGCATTAATAGATTTGTGATCCGTTTCGTATTTGAGGAACCATTATCAACTTCGTTTTTTTAAATAGTCGAAAAAAAAAATCTTTGTCCTTTGAAAATTTTATTTCCAATTATATGAATCCATCAATGATATTACACTTTACAATTATTCGACGTTTCAGACAAAAAAAATCATTATATTAGTAATGATAATATGAACTCTTATTTCGTCATATCACTTCAAATAAAGCCAGGAATTTACTTTGTATAGGTATCTGTCATGATTACCCAGATCGCAATGAATCTCCCCGAATTTGGGACACCCTATACATGATTTTCGAAAATTCTCAATATCGTCACCTTTATATTGCAAAGACAAATACTCTGACAAAAAACATGGCATTAGATGGCAATCGAATGTTTTTAGTAAATACGTATATTGCAAGATACCTACTCAAAATTATGTTTTTGGTTATCTCATGTTATTCCAGAGATACCTATCTATATCAAGACCTTCCGGACACCCTGTAGCAATACTTATATATGAATGCATATTGCATCGTGTTGAAATTTTTCATCGAAGTTATATAAAAGAGCGGGAAAACATCCACTACGGTTCCATGTCCTGAAAGTGTTGTGTGGGTTGTTTACATATCAGGCGAAAACATCTGAAGCATGACATAAAATAATTATTGTCTGGAGGTTTACGAGATAATAACTCGCGAGTCGCGAGGCAAAGCAAAGTTTGTCGCGTGTCATCAATCAATCAAAACAACATATAGGTAGGTACATACCTACCGGCAGATTTTGGCGAATAGGGCTTCGGTTGTAGGTTGTAGTGTAGGTTCGTAGTAATCGGTGGTGTATGGGGGTAGCTCGATGACGTACAGTGTGTACGGATGGTCGTACGGTTGGCAGCTGCTTTTGCCTAGCGCGTCCCTCATATTAAAGCGGACACGCCGGGTGGCTGCCCATTCGAGGGTAGCGAGCGAGAGCGCGAGTGTAGAGTAAGCTAAGCAGCTTTGAAGTAGTGCACGTTTTTCGTATTCGTCGTATCGTAAAGTGTAGAGAACTCAAACTCTGGCGGAAGCACGACACTAGTACCCCTTAGAGCGCCCCCACCACGATACCAGACGCTACCGTACCACACGGTTGAGTTGAGCCGACGTCGAACTTAAGCTCAAGCTCAGTCAGTCTGCATTCACCCACCGTTGGAGTGCATCGTGTAGCGGACACTCTAACCCTAACCTCTGGATTATACGTCTACGTCTAACGTGTGCTGTGATGTGCATCATTGTCGTTATGGGGTGTTTTACTCTACTCGCATTTTAACTTTGCATGTGCTGTGCTTTCATGTGGATATTTTAGTGTGTTGGCGACGCATGTTTGCCAATAGTGACCTAGTGTTTTGATTTTATAATAGCCTATGGCGCGGTTTTGCAGATCACCTTTGAGGTAACAGCTCTTGAAGGTTGCTGAAACCCTCTTGTTCGGAAATACCTGATAGACAAATCGACTGACAACATGTCTTGGATATTCCTCACCTTGTTCGGACTTATCCTCGCCTTCCACCAGGTAAGCTACCGGCGTTTATAACGAAACAAAACATCAAACATCCCTCGCGTCGCGTACCTATTGCAATGAATGAACGCTTCTAGACGGTGAAATATCGAAACTTGGTCAGTGTCTCGAAGCTTTCATTTTAATTATTCGCGAACTCAAGAAAAGCTCACTCACCGGCGGCACGTCTATTCTTTCTTACTCTCGTTCTCGAACATTGTTTACACTGCCTAATTATTCTGGCGCGCTTTCTTCTCACTTTTACAAATCCAGGCAAGCAATTCTTTAACTTTTATTTCTTAACGTGTCCGTCTACTAACATCCGAAATCGTCCGAAATGATTCACGTTCCGAAAATAACCAAAAGCACAACAGACACATTTTCAATGAAAAAACACATCGAGAATACAGGGTGTTCTTCCATAGGCCGCACCATCAGGAGTTTTTGAATTGAGACTGATTTCTTTCGACAACGAGGCCGGAAAAAATGATTTAGGAACATGCTGTACTGGAAAAACTAGATCGAATTCAGAATGCGATGGATTGTGTCGGCCGAGATTCAGGGTTTGTCTCAAAGAATACCAAGTCAAGATCGACACCACTTCCAAATGCACCTTCGGAGACAAGATTACCCCCGAACTTGGACCTAACCCTATGACGGATACGCCGCAGAACGGATTTTCCAACCCCATCGCTTTGCCATTCCCATTTACTTGGCCGGTAAGTTTGTGTTCTATGGCCTCTTGAAAAATTGCTGATGATGATTACCTAATTACGATAACTGAATATTTCATTTTCCGACGCGACTACCTAGGTCTATAATTTCGTTCAACGAAGTTCGTGAGAAAATATCCCATCCAGTACCTATTTCGTTATTAGTGGCAGCTTGTGATAAATATCTACAGTGGTATTAGTTGGTTACCTAGTTGGTAGCGATATCTTACCACCTGCCCATGCTCTGAGAGAGATATGCGGGTCTGGTCTTCGATACCTTCGGAGTAAAACGACTAGAACGAGAATATTTTTCGTTTCACTCCGACTAATTTATCAAGAACATCTTTCAGAACGTTATCCTTGTTATCTCCACGAAATTGATCGACAATATTGAACATCTTGCTCTCAAGAATTTGAGAGATAGCAGTGGCAACTGTTTTAATAAGAAGAGGTTTCTTGTAGGGACTGTACATTTCCGCTGAGCGATTTTGTAGCATCTTATACATCACCGTCTCGAGGCAGGTATCTTGCCGTGGGAACAGTGCACATAATCAAAATTAATTATAATAGATTTATTGATCAAACTTCTTTATTTTCATCATGGAATCATTATTGCACATGAATTCGGATGATAGGTATGCTGGAATGAGAATTTGGAATTCTCATTAATAATAGTTGCATCTTTAATTGATATAAATACAGTAGTAACACAAAGTTGAAATGCGTTCTAACTTCCGTTTAGGTAGCCTAATCAGAGATAATGTATAGGATTTCCACGAAGATCCTCAATCCTAATCGTCAAATAATCCGAATACTGAATAACAGTGCTTTGATTCATTATATCGAAAGAGGGTTAATTGGTATAATCGAGGGTATAATAGAATCATTCAAACAGCGTATCATTCGAGCTATCATTCCAATTCTGATATTTAGAACTCGATTTAGATGGACTATACCTACCTAATCGAACTTGTAAAACACAGTTTTCCCACAATCCACCATGCAATAAGTATATACCTACCTACATAATATTGAACTATGAACGTCAAGAGAAATAATTGAAAGATACATACCTACTCAACCGGTTTTATATTGTTTACTATGGATTGTAAATGATTATATAAACCTCCGTTCTTGCGCGGAATCATCTTCTGAGGAGACTGGGATAAATCATGAACCATTCTCTCAATATGGTCTGCGATATTATTATTAATCACAAAGAATATGATCATTAGGTACCTACCTTCGTATAATAATTCTTCTTTGCTTTTTCTGATACATTATAGGCCTGTAGAATTCCTAGGTTCTGTTTAATTTTCTCACGACCTTCTCTTTTGTTATCTGAGATTTATTAACTTGCATAAGGCATATACCTACCTACGTATATATAGTGTGATGCTCGACAACTGTCAGCCAATATATAGGTAAATGATAATAATAATCAATCAAAACATAAGAAGTATATTTTCTGCAATCGGCTCAATCGTCGTCCATTTTTGTTCCAAAATTAGATCTTGAAGTTGACTTTCTCTTACTGACAGAATAAAATGATTAGTATGTATGATGCTAGGCAACACTTTGAGTGTCTTGGAGCTAAAGTTGAAGCTTAACTCCTCGAAACCAAAAACAGCTGATATGATAGCTGCTTTGACACTGACATGCTAAAGTGACTCAAAATAGTGGTATTTTCACTCATATCTTATTAATTAGATATCAATTATTTCGATTGCAGAAAAAATAGTATGTTTCATTCGGATCAGAAGTGACTGTTTGATCCTCCCGATACATCCAGTTTCTGCACTTTTAAAACTGTTGGTTGCCAGGTACCTATCTCTATATAACAAATTCAAAAAAAGTAAGCATTCACTAGGTATTGATACTCTGGAAGTTCAAATAATATTTTATTAGAATATTCATGGGATCTGAATGAAACATGATTAATACAATGTTTATCGTTTGTTCCACGCCCTGTATATTATGATAGTTGATCGTAACTTCATAGGAGAATGTAAAAAGATGCCATAGTGCAATAAAATGAACGTAAAAAGGTAATCACATCAGTATTGCAAGTAACATTCGCGTCTTCTTCAGTGAAAGTTGTTTTCTCTTCTAAATGAAAGAATTCACAATTTCTTCTTTATTTTTGCAGGGTACCTTTTCGTTGATCGTAGAAGCATGGCATGGTAACGAAACATCACATTCTGCTGGTAAGTTTTAGAAAACTCAATGTACCCACTATAAAATAATTGTGGATTATAATGTAATGTAAACCAAGATGTAAACAAAGAATGTCTCTACAACTAGGCCTTTAAATTGCATTGCGTGATCCTATGAAACTGCCGTTTTTTCTTCTTAAATGTCATTGTTCTGTTCTAACTATAACATTACACGAGATATTATATAAAATAAATATGCAACTCGGAAGAGGTTTCAGTTCATAAAACGCGTTCACCATGCATACCATGAAACATAAATAAATTGGCGTAGAGTAACGATCTGAGAAACTCACCTAATTTTTCAATTCTATGACATTTTATAATCATCATTCTATATCGAGTTCTAAATACTTATTAGATCAATGAAAAGTTTTCTAAAAATAACGAAGAAATGGTATACTTTTCGCGAGACTTATCACAATATCTTTGGATACGTTCAGTTTCAATTAAAAAAAAAACAGGTACCTACCTACTGATAATTCACATTCAAAAACGAGTGGGGTACATCACGAACAAATAGGGTGTTCCATTCAGTAATCAGAAAAAAATTTATATTTGAGAAATTTCTCAACAAATTTCAAGGTTGAAAAAAGTTTTTTTTGTCAAGGTGAGAAGGTGGATAGCCCAAAAATCTACACCGGACCCTCATCACCTGAATCAGTCAGTCCTTATGCATAATTGAGTTTTCGAGATGCATGTGTACCTATCATTCATACTCCTGAATTATTCAGAAGTGAAATATAATTCCCCACTAAGAACAGGTTAGCAATTCGAATGTATTAAGAAATAATTATTATTCAAACGTTGACAGCCGTGTGATTGTGAATGAAAATTTTTTTCCAGTTGAAAAAATCTTGAGAACTCATTAGTTTAGTTGCCTATACCTACCTGAAACTATTGAATCCGGTTCATTAAGATATTTATAAAAATCTACTGATAATCATCAGATTGTGAAGAAATGCTAATTTCCATGTGATCAAGCTATCTCCTGTGTGGATATATATATATACCCGATTATATACCTTTCACAAGGTACAATACCCTTTGAGGTCGTATATCCTCTAAGTGTACGAAAACAGAATATAGGTATGTTCTAAAACTAAATAAATATCTTGCTATATAGCACAGTATAAAAAGCCACATGTATAACAGCTGTCAACTCTTGACTAACCAACAAAACCAGCCCTCTTCCTGAGTTCCTGATAACTTAAAAGGCTCTTCCGCTTCAACCGATATTTCTAGTAGGTACGGGTTTTTCTTTATAGCCAATCTTCGACACACATCACGTTTCCTCTAGATAATCTGAATGCATTAAGATGACGGCGATGAGTCTATATTTTTTTCCCTCATTTCAATATTGAATGCTGCAATTCTATGTTCTACTAGGTATTTCGTTCGTAGTATAGTTTTTTCGCAATAATTGTTAAGTGATGCCCTTCGCTGATTCCCAACGAATGGATCGAAAGAGGGAATCCGCCCTGTATATATAAAAATATTGTCTATTAGTTTGGGGGGGGGTTCCGGATAAGGATAGCAAACAAACAATGAGTGAATAAACATTGGGTTTGTTTTGTGCATTCTGGGATCAATATACAGTTTGAATTTTTTTCTAAAATCCACGAGTTTATGATTGATGTCAATGAAATTTCATGATCTGAATAGTAATATTAAAACGAATTCATTTTCCCACGCAACATTGAAACGTTGGGCTAGACTGTGTTGTAAAGTTTTACTACCTCGTAAAATAGTTAACATCCCTTTACATCAACTGATTACATCCAAAATCAGTGTTGAGGGGCTATGGTTGCTGTCCAAATTATTGAACCCTTTTCATAAATGATTTTACGTAGGTAAATCAGGTCATTAAGTTTATCTAAAGAATTTTCACAAAAAGTTATGTGTACATAATTAATCTTTATTGAACTTCAAAGAACTATAACATTCATTTCCAACGCTACCTACCTATTTACTGTCTGAATCAGATTGATATTATCTCCAAGATTCAAGACATCTGTGTCGCTATATATAAAATAGTCTGCATTTAGTGGAAATATCGACGTTTGCTCGATTTTAAAGCGACAAACTGAAAATCACGCGTCACCTAAAAATTTCCAGTTTTCGTTAGCACATATTCGAATGCATACATTAGATGCTACATCTGTGCCTAATCCTAAGTTATTTTTCGTTACCTTTGAGAAATAGACGCTTTGTGTGCCAAAGCTTTAACAATGAAGCAGTCAAATTTAATGTCCCCGCCTGTACCTATTTTGTCCAGGTGTTATTACAGTGTAACCGTTCAAAGTTCCCTCTCTCTATTCAACTCACCCAGTTGACAAATGATAAATAGACCCAAAGCTCCTGACCGATTACAATGTGATAACTCTACCCTCTCTGACTCTGCGACGCTCAATTGTATTTTATTTTTTCAATCCTCTTAGGAAAAAGAAAAAAGTATGTTTGCTCGTGGAATCTATGTCAAATATTATTTTTCGAATTCCGAGTACTGAAAAGGTCCATCGGCCATAGTGTAGAACATTTTTTCAACGGTTACTCTCAACAATGGTGGAGTCTGTTAGATCTCTAAATATCCCGTCAGAGACAGGTTCTTTTTAATTAACAGGCTTACGTTAATTTGGAGAAGTACCTACCTATAACACTCGTACATCGTATTCGTAAAGTGTCCCGAGCTTAGTTGGAGAAAGATGGAAGAGATATAACTGAAATGCATAGGACAGCAATTATTTCTGTGGAAAAATTGATATGGGAATTTAATTACTTGGTGTAGGTATGATACACAGGAATACCGGTTAGGTATGGGTCGCTTGAAAAATACCGCCATGTTGTAGGTTATTTATTGAACGCATAACTATTTTTCGATGGTATGTACGCACATATACAGACTTGTCATCTATGCATGGAAATAAATGTGAGGAATTCAGTTTTGAAACATTCATCTTGATTGTGTCTCGAGCTGGTAGAAGAATGACTTCTCATTCCATTGAATGCTTACCTAATACTATTAAAAAACGACGATAGATGTGACATGTATTTCTGAAACGAACATAACACATCAACATCTATGTCAGAGACTGAGATTTTCGTTTTGATGAAGCCGCGTAAGATACCAGCGAAGAAATCACGGAAATATAAACCAAGGAAGGGAAAACGTATAATAAATCTTAATGAATGCGCTGATAAAAAACCAGTATATGTATTGAAAACGGATAATATTTCCCGGACTCCATAGAAATAATGCCTACATCCTTTGTGTAGGTATCTTAATATAACGTGTGAATCTACTTAATTAGTTGTATTTATTTATGTTTTTAATGTGATTTTTAAATGAGTAGCTAATAATATGGCCATCTCTTCAGTTCGTTCCTTTCACAGAAGTCTTTGTGTACGGTACCTCAAAGCCCATACATAAAAAAATCGCGTCTAGACTTGGTTGAAATTCTTAAAATATGATCATTATCCTCTCCTTCCAGGAACACTTCTTAGTTTTGGTGTCACTGTATGCCCAAAAACAATCAGTCAATTTTACTATGATGTACAATGGTTTCATTCAAAATGCTAATGAAGGGTGATATTTCACAGTAATAATCTTTCTCAATTATTGATCATTTTTAGATTGTTACTTTCTGGAGTTCTGTGGTTTTGTGATTTCGTCAGATATTTGTTAGAACATTGAAATTGAATAGGTAATCGTTGTCACTAGTATTAAGTATTATTATACCTGATACAAGTTGGCATCAGGCATCAGTTCATGAATTATAACAAAAAGTCGGTACCTATGTTGTACCAGAAAATAAAAAATATTATGCTAGTATTTCAATACGATGTTTGATGTTTTGAATTCTCTAGGAGAGAAAACTTGCGAGGCTTCTTTAATATTACTTCTGCAAAATCTTTTATTTTTCACCCTGCAGTATCTTGCGTCGGCATAAAAGGGACCTGAACAACTTGTTACACAATACGGCCTCAAACGATATGTGCGATTTGGAACACTTAACCGGATATCCTGTACTTTAAATGCTCCCCAACTTGTGGAATATTATCTCGAACTTCCTTTTATAACCCTCTTTCGTAAGATATAGATTTTTATAACACCTGAGTAGACAATTTCGACTCTCTTGAATACACCCAGGAAAACATCTACCTACTGCGGATGCACAATTTTAAACAGTTTGAAAATTTCAGTTCTATTCTGGGCTTTTTCACTGGCGAAAATCACTCTGATTTCGACCTCACCTCATTCATGCAAATAATAATTTAATGGGATATCTACTGGATCTCGATCGGACCCACCAATACCGGTTTCATAACAATTTGTAAATCCTCCAAATGTAGCACTTTGTTTAACGTTCGCATATTAAAAAATCCACCTTGAAAAAATCTGAAAAGGCAAACACCGAAAAAATAAAGTTGTTCTTGTGTTGGTGATACAGCTTCACCGGATACAGCTGCTCTGTTGCCGGATGCTTAAAGAATACACCTGCATTATGTTTCTCAGACGTCTATCTTGAGACCCGTTCAAATTTACTTTCCAATTTCGTCTGCCTCTGATGCCTACCTGAACCTAGATGTTTATTTAAAAAAACATGGGAAATTAAAACACCACCAGTCCATTTCGTTTTCTTATTAGGACCTATCAAACGAAATTAAAAATTTAGTCTGATTCGCAACCAGTAATTTGGATATGCGGTCAGTTGTTTGGACGTTTTATTCTCTATTCATACGACCTTCCAAAAACTCGATTTGCATAAAGCTGTTCGGCACCGACCAATAACCGATTTCAAAATCAGTTATTGTCTATTATACAGAGCTCTAAACTTTTCCAAATATTAAGTATTTAGGCTTCAAAAGAATAAAAAAATTCAACTTGTCTTCTTCAACAAGGAAAATTATTGATGATATGCAATGTACAGAAAATATTATGGTTCTCCTTTGAATTAAGTATTATACCTACAGGTTTATTTTACAATAAGTTATGGACATGACATGACGAGTTGAGTGATCATTCTTCGGAGTGATAAACATTTAAACAAATTATCAACATTTTAGCAACTTCCTAATGAGAAAGAATTATAAACAAATCTTGTCTCTCATTTTGTGCATTAAATAAATAAAACGAGGAATAATAGCAAATGTCCCAGTGAATCTTTATTTACTTTTCATCTGATGACCTTGAAAATCGCCGCTACTTCCCCCATGAAATTCAATTTCCTAGAAATTATAGCATGACACTTTAGTATTTAGTCGATTTGGATTCTTTACCGTAATTGGCTTCATTCTTTATCCAATATGAGCCTGAATTCAATCTTTTCAATGCGTATTTTCACTTGTTTCAGTGCTTGTCAGTCGCCTGACAAGGCAAAGGTATCTGGACGTGAGCGAAGCCTGGACCGAGGACTTCCACACTTCCAAATACTCCACTCTAAGGTTCGAATACAGGGTGACGTGCGATTCGCACTACTATGGGAAAGGTTGCGAAAACCTGTGCAGACCCAGAGACGACAATTTCGGCCATTACAGCTGTTCTCCTACGGGAGAACGGGTGTGCTTGGCTGGATGGACAGGAGATTATTGCACCAAACGTAAGTGATATTTTTTGCATGACATCACATCAGTACTTTTTTCGTGAATCGATATTGTGAGATATTATTGTGCTGTGAATTGGAATCTTGAGCAAATCTAGTTTCATGGCATCTCATCTTGGATTCTGAGTTGATGATATACAGGGTGTAACTCAATTGATGGCTGAAAATATAGCATATGGTTCCTTAGCTCATTTTAAAGAGAAAAGTTCTTATGAACATATTCTCTAAACCTCTTAACTTCTTAACTTCCAAACTATAGGATGTAACATTTCATTTTCTCTTCATTGATTAAAGAAACTTTCACAATGTAAAAAACTGTCATATTGATGAATACTTGTCGAAATAAGACCGCAATGTAATCGATCAAATGTCATTATTTCAAATACAAAATAGGGCATTAGCCTACTAGTTCAAGATAATTTCGTTATGCCACAAATGCATGAAAATTGTTTTAATTTTTTTACGCGAAAACGGTTCGTCAGACGGAAAAAAATCAGGTCAAATTGTTGCGAAAAAAATGAGGATTTCAAAAATGTTTTTTGTTCTCGGAAAAATCAAGGGTATACACTTTTTATTTTTAATCTCCAGGATATATCCTTTACGTACGCCACTGGTAGAAATATTAAAAAATCTTCTGCATCGCCTATTGGTGCTTAGTGGGTGCATGTCAAATTTCATGAAAATATCTATGAATTGAGCTAAGGAACCACATCCTTTATTTTCAGCCATCAATTAAATGACACCCTGTATATTATAAGATTTACATATGTATGCATATCACCATAGACAAATTCGAAATAAGAGTGGACCTGCAGTATTTGTAATACTTGGGCGGTGCAAAACTGATTGTATGTTGTATATTGATTTATGTTCCCAGATGCCCCTTTTCAATCAAACACTCGTAGATTACTATGAAACACTTTGGACCAGTCTGTACCTAATGTTATTCTGATTATGGAACAATACTGGGTTACGAATTGGACTAGAACTGCATAAGATTTCTTTCTCAAATTACATCGATTCCATGGTTATTATTCAATCATAGATATTCGATGACTTGGCATAATCAATAACTTCGTCAAATACGTCAAATATGGAATGTATTGAACAAAATCAAATTGCTTGAAGTACTTTATCAACTATCTTCATTTTGAGGGGAACTTTGAAAGGGTCTCTGCCTCGGTCTGTGCACCACTAGGTTTAGGTTTATAGGGTACCACCTTTTTTATAGATTCTTAGAAATTCGTTGGGTTCTTCGAAATCCCATTAAAATCTAATCAAGTTTTCAATTTATAAACTGTGGTATTTATGGGGGTAGGCCTTGCTTCTTCATTTCTATGGAAACCTATAATTATGAACACTTGAGATACCTCAAGGGTAGCTTATCTTCAAACATCGGTTGAATAATCGATTTATACGAATTTCGCGAACTGAAAAAAGGAGGTTTAACTTTTCATTCATTAAATAGGAAGTACCCAGGAAATCTGGATATTTGAAGCTAAGATTCTAGATATATACAGCCGGTAAATATGACCCGATATCACAATTATGTAAAAACCTGCTTTCATTCATTAATAATTTTTGAGTCAATATTGTCCACCAGAAATTTACCTCTGTCATTTATAGAGACCAACCTACTCAGAAAAAAATTTGAGTGCGCCTCTGGTGACCCTTCAGAATTCGCGAAGCAGCTGTGTTTGTATAGAATTTGTTGCTCCACTAACAACAATAAGCAATACAAAATAATAGTGGTGGCCTTAGGATAGGTTCGCCTCGAGATATTTCATATCGCAACTTGAATTTAATTATTTTTGGAATTTTCCTCCCCAAACCACAACATCGGAATGAGATCAAAATCCAATAAACTCCAAACGACTCGGAAACAAAGAAAAAAGACAATTTCAACGATTCAAAGCAAATAACCGAGGATAACACAGTTGAATAAGCATGCATTTTACTTGTATGAATATAAATAGAGTTAGGGCATAAAAAATGCCGAATTTTGTCCACAAAAGAAGCAAAAGCAATGACCGCGAGAAGGAGACGTGAGTGCCGTTCAGCTGCTGTCGACTACACAGACCGAACCGAAAGCTTCCCACGATTCCTCGGCATACCTGTCTGTATACAGGGTCCGTTTCGTTATTATCCACTCAATAAGAAATAATTATCGGAACTTATTATCTCGGCGTGGAATAACATCACAGACGTAACTCGGTGCATTTTAAACTTGTTTCGACGATTCATTCGAACATAAAAAGTTATTTTCTGGCACATGTGCGAGTGTTCATTCATTTCAATATCTCACTTTTTGGATACGAGGAAAGACACAACAATTGACATTTTTTGCATTTTCGTTCATCACAGTGGTCAATCAACAAGTTCATTGTTTTTCTTTCCCCTATTTTTTATTTCATGTTCACTCTTGAACCGCTTCTCAGATAAAGGCTTCTCTTGGTACCTTGAATTTTCTTGAAGAGGTTTCAGCTCGATAAACTTACGTTTTTTAGCAAATTCATTTAATCTTTGGTAGAAGTCCATGGTTTCTCAAAGTGGAGTCAAGTATTAAATACTAAATGATAACACAAAGTCATCTCCACGACATTTAATGTGATTAACACATCAAAAATTGGTACATGTTTCGGACATATATATGTCCATCATCAGCCTTATATTGAAATTACATAATTGTCCTAAAATTAAAATAGTTATTAGTACAATCGACAAGAGTTATGAGAATAAGAGTGCTTACATGGGGATATAACCTTTTTTTTATTCATTTAAATAAATCGTAACATTGGTATTCCCAAGCAATATCTGAGGATAATAATAGTAATGGTGTCATCAGTTGACACCCTGTATAACTGAAATGCAAATGCATGGAATTGAAAAACTAATACGTTATCTGAATAGAGGATCGGAATACCTTCCAAATGAGGTAAACTCGACCCATTCGCCGTTTGAAATTTTGAAGTTGGTGGCGATTAATGATGTCAAAAACAGTTATTTGGGCCCGAGACACAATTTCATGTATATTTTTTGTTTCAGCGCAATGTTTACCTGGTTGCGACGAACAACATGGCCACTGTACACAACCGAATGAATGCAGGTGAGTTTCTTACATAATTATCCGACTGCAAAACCTTTCTAACATTGAAAATGTCAACGACAGACTAATAGGTATAATAGATTCCTGATGCGGAGGAATTTTTGAGGTGTGTTATGCGAGAGGTCGGATGAAATCTCCTATCTTCGAATGTTATTTACTGGACAATAATTGTAATTACATTTCAATATGTTCGCTACTGAAACGTGAGAGAAAATAATATTCAGCTATAATGGGAGATGTAATATCGCGATCAACCAACAATTTGAATTTTTAATCTTTTTATACTACTCGTTAATTTTTCACTATTGGAATTGAGGAAAGCCAAAGGCTATATGCTACAAAGTTCAATGATTAATGTGCCGAAGATTGAATCTAAAATGGTTTGTTGATTTTCGGGACATGATCAAATCGAATTCTTTGATGTGAGTCTTCAACTACTAAACACTGAAAAAAATGTCAATGAACACACACAGTCTATATATTATGTTCCAATGTCATAGGTAGTTTTCATTATCTTTTGATATAATATACCAACACCTCCATTTTCTACCGGAAGTCTGACCATTGGAATCGTATTCTTATCGAAGTTCGTTGTGGCACATCTTGGCCCTATGAGAAACATCATCAGATAACTTTTCCATTCAACTTAATTTAAAATTCGATTAATTTTCGAACCGAAAATACCCGGTTCCTACTCTCACTAGCTCGGCCGAACTTATAATTTAGAAATGAAGAATGGTTTTGTGATGCACTATTAAAATCTCCGTACGTACCATCTATTCCAACGAGAAACCGTGATTGCTCAATCCCCACCCATTCAATTTGTATTCATTAAACCGCTAGCCCTATAATCTTCCAGAAGTTTATTCGAATTAGGTGGTAATTAGAGTCGACTCTAGGCTCGACCATTAGACGTTAGGTTCGTATCTTTCGGCCACTTACGGAAGATGCCCGAATGGACCAACACGCAACGTCTAGGCGCTGCGCCAAAACAATAATTCTGGTGCCTGTCTCAGTTCTTGGTCTTAGCACAGATTAAGTCTTAGCACAGTGTTATTAATTGACGGATAAAAGTCCGATTGACGATACGCAAATGAAACCGTTATCGATTTTTTTTGTAATGCGGTAGGATTAATTAAAATTGTAAAGAAAAAAAGTCTATGTAGCGAAAAATGACGTGACCCCTGAAAAATTACATCCCTGTAGATTCTCACAATCATTCGGCATACTGTATGATGTAAACCATGAAACGTAACGTATGTTTCAAATTTGATCTGAATTTCTCAAAAACTGAAAGAGCTATAGAGAAAATTTAACGCTCTAGAGTTGGCGAATACATATTTATAGGAGAAAAAGTCTTATTTTCAACTGAGAAACAAGCTCCTGAAATCTTGATACTGAATTTTGAAACACACCCTGTATACTTGTATAGTATGGACAAAATCATTGAAAAATTGTTCTTTAGGTATAAGATGTGAGGTTTTCATTATTGAAATGTAATTAAAAATGACAGATGTATCACATGTAGTTATTATACAGGGTGATGGTGAGATTAATACATTATTCACTCCGTATGTGTAGAAATTCTTATTTATTTTATACGTCGCCTTAGGATCATTCAAATTTATCGAATTTCTCCGAATTGTCTTTGTTATTGAGAAGTTCTCTGATTTTTCGCACCTCATTCACATCCTGTTGGTAAGGCTCTTCTTGATAATGTTCGGTTATGGGGTTCGAGGAGTGCCTAAATCTTTCGAACCATTCCCATCACGTGATTTGTTGAGATTCGTGTTTTTTATGATTATTTTTCGCAATCAAGTTGTGGAGGCTGAGTTTGGTTCCACTAATAGCATGGAGTCAGTCCACTGTGATCATTTGTATAATGATTTATGCTTCCTTTCGAGACCCTGATGGTCTCGTTAATAAGTTTTTCTTCGAGCGAATGCGCATGCGTGATATCACGTGATTCACTGTGACCAATCTGACAATGAGGTTTCGAAATTGTTCGAAAACTTCAGGCTCTCGTTTACTTTGTACCTTCTTTCAGTTTTCGTTATTTTATTTCCTCTCTCCGGCAAAATATGGTCTGGAACCCAAAGCGCAAGTCAGGTAGTGGCGAAATAATGGTTGATATTTAATTTAATAGATATTTGTATCGGAATATGGGTGCCGAAGCGGGGTGCAGACGTCGGTTGCAGATTGTGCCGGCGACCCGCATCTAACCTTTCCTTGACCTGCATACTTGCCAACGGGCAGCGTGGGAAAGAGCTCTGTGGGCGTGTGCATCCCCTCTAAATTTCCCCCCCGCGCAGCCCCGGTCTGCTATCCGAGCTGCAACTCAATGAGCTCCTCCGATACGATCCGAATACACTCTCTTTCAAACGCATGATTAGAATAAGAAATACACGACGCGATCGAGGTACGACCAGTGGTACCGGCCTCGACGCGATGGGTACCGTACACAACGTCGCGCTGTACCATCATTTTATTCGCTATATTCGGCTCATGTCGGTCATGATATAGCCAGAAGATGGTGTACCTATAGCGGAATGATGTGATTTAGTTCTACCCTGTAAAATTGGTTTTTCTAACCTCCAGAATAAGTGCTTTTCATGTTTTCAAATATTTATTTTTATTCAATGCAAGTTGTATGTGAAGAAGTTTCTTTTCTCAACCATTACACACTATTTCACACCGCAGAAGTTGGCGTAGAAAAGTTCATAGCATTCATATCTACTATTAGTATACCACCGTCACTACTTTAAGTTGATTTAAATATAGTATGAGCACCCCTGTATGGATATATGATTTCAGAACAATCATGAACTGTTCTGATTTGAAATCACTTCACTATTCCAAGAACGAAGGTTAATAATAATAGCAAGGTTCATTATTTATCAACTATTAGATTGCATCAAACGACATCAAACAATTCCATGTTGCGTCAATTTCAATGAGCCTTGTAATTGGACATTCTTAAACGATGATTCCTGTGAAAACAGGTAATCGAATCATCTCTATTCATTAAAGTCATTACAATTCCATTTGCGTCGCTTATTTCTCATTGAACGTAAATCGAGAGTTCATTGATTATGTTATATATTTACCTGTTATGTCTCTGTCGTTGACCGATTCACATATTTTCCCACACGAAGAGAACTATAGCTAATTATGCATTATTACTTGTTACAGATGCCAGTCAGGATGGGAAGGTCCTCTTTGTAACCAATGTCAACGGTACCCTGGATGTATGCACGGCACATGCGTGAAACCATGGGACTGCCTTTGTAACGAAGGCTGGGGTGGACTTTTCTGCAACCAGGATCTCAACTTCTGTACAAATCACAAGCCGTGTCGTAATGGAGGCACTTGTTTTAATACAGGACAAGGCAGTTATACCTGCAGCTGCTCACCAGGGTTCAATGGAACTGACTGCGAAATTCCTGCAGATGATTGCTCGAAAACTCCATGTCAGAATGGTGGTACTTGCGTCTCCAAAGGCGCCTACAATGTCTGCTCTTGTCCACTCGGTTACAGTGGCCTTCAGTGTGAAACAATTTCTGATTCTTGCAACAAACAACCTTGCAAACATGGAGGCACTTGCAGCAATACAGAGAGCGGTTACCAATGTGCTTGCAAACCTGACTACACTGGAATCAACTGCGACATCCAGATCAACAGGTGTTCGCCAAATCCTTGCAAAAATGACGGTACTTGCGTCGAGGATAACAATGGCTTCCAGTGTGTTTGCTCGACTGGGTTTTCTGGAGAACTGTGCGAGGTCAACATCGACGACTGCAAAGGAAATCCTTGTCAGAACGGAGGAACTTGTGTTGACAAGATAAATGAGTTCCGCTGCCATTGTGTGCCAGGCTACGTGGGACCATTGTGCCAAAACCGCGTGGACTATTGCATCACCAAACCTTGCGCCAGTGGCGGAACTTGTTTACAGCTGATCAATGACTACAAGTGTAAATGTGCTCCCGGCTTTGCGGGAAAAGACTGTAGTGAAGAAGTCGACGAATGCCTAATAAACCCTTGCCAACACGGAGGCACGTGCGTGAACCGAGTCCACGGCTTCGAATGCTTGTGCTCGGTCGGTTTCTCAGGTCGGGAATGTGACGAAGTATCCTCTAGTGCCGCCCCCAGCGCTAGGGTCTCTTCCGAATCCAATCTCACCACCGAGCATGTCGTGGTCATCGCTACGATTTCGACGTTCGTACCCTTGGTCGTTTTGGTGGCCGTCGGAGTGATAATCTGTCTGAAACAGCGACGGAAACGCGAAAAAGCCCGCGCTGACGAAGAAGCGCGGCTGCAGAATGAACAGAACACTGCGAACAGTAGTTTCGCGAAACGCGGCGCAGCCATGTCGGCCGATCCTCACATGATAAAGAACTCTTGGGGCAAGTGCACAAACAATGTGATAAGCTCAAATTTCCCTTCTCCCGATGACTGTAGTGTTTCTAACATCAGCATCAATGACTGTGATGGTTTCCCGAAGCCCCAACATCAGGTCATCGATGGGCGGCCTGTGTATACGTTACAAAGGACGCGCTCACAGAAGCAGCTCAACACCGAGACGGGCGCTCGTGCCTCTGCATTGCTTGCTGCCAAGCTGCACGAACCCGATTACGAACACATCAAACGTTTGTCTGTGATGTCAAACGCGTCGGCTGTGTGTGGCTCCAGGTAAGAATGAGTACCATCGCCAAGAATTGTTGTATCTCCTGCATCCTTTCGCTCCTCGATCACCGACTCTACATCCTGGATCATTGTGGCCTGTTGACTGATGTTTGGTATCTGTTGTTTCAGTGATCCTTCGATGTTGAAGAGGCCACTAGAGAAGGAGTCGAATGGCGTTTATGTGATAGAAGAGCACTTTCATACTCCAGATGTAATCTCGTCTGGACTCTTCGCAACAGAAGTGTAGTTAATTTAAATGAATGACTGAAGTGTGTATGTGATGTTGATAGCACCAGCAGTCTGGGGTAGCTGTATAGTTATTTATTATTTCCCTTCACACTGATGGTGATATTGACAATTAACTTATGTTTGCATGAGTACTGAAAATCTGAGCTAGTGCCTCGTGTCCAAGAAGCTTTGCTATTCTCGCGACTCCGCTCCGAGTGATACCAACGATTGATCAGATCATTGTCTCCAGTGGTAAAACAAATTGTCTATATTGTATATATATTAGAGTAATATTTTTTTTCTCGTTTTTGCCGAGTCCATTTATTTTTCTATTTTACCAATGGGGAAGGTATCTGGTAAGAAACCAAAGATTTTGGATTCGTTTGGAGCCTGACTCTCGAAAATAGCACAGTTGTTCCTCGTCAAGTAGTATGTAACTAAAGTAACATTTGAATTGTTATTGTAATTTGTGATGAATCTGAAGCGAACTAAGTCACCTTTGTACTTAAGTAGGCTTTTCTCAATATTTATTCATTTTTTCAGCATTTTCTATGCCGTCAGTATTAATTTTTTTACTACTTTATGGCCAGTGATATATACAAACTTAAAACTGATGGCAATCTTTATTATATGGTCCTATTTTTGACCCGATTTTTTTCGAACAAAGAAACAATGTTCCTGTTATTTTTTGAAACTAAGTCATTTACACATTTAATTTTATCGAGAGACCCTTACTTTTGTCTCTCCATATCATTGACTGACCATTGTTGTACACTACTTAAACACTTGGGCAAGTTAAAGACTTAATATTGATAAAGACGTTTTGTATTATAGAATTGTACATTTAATTTATAGTCTGTAACTATGTAACTATTAAAATTGTTCATGTTTCATAATGAATACTTCTTTAGAGAAGCGGCTGTATTTGTTCCTCATGTGAATAATGTTATTTAAAAGTTATTTCAATAAATTTTTTGTTCTATAAATACCACTTTTTACTTCATACCCTGAATCAAAACACTCAAAAATCATTTGCATGATCACATTTTATAAGTAGAAATACTATTTAAAATTATTTTATCATCAAAAATATCCGAATTGCTTATATCTTGGTGAATAATTCTAATGATAGGCTCTCTGAGCTGAATAGCAAAACATTTATAATACAATATTTGCAATTATCAGTATGTTGGCTGCGCAGGGTTGATTAGCCGAGTAGGGTAAGGAGGTGGTACGTATATGATCAACATTTCAATGGATTAGCGTGCCGCATAGCCGCTCTTCATTTCTGATTTAAAACCTGTGGGTCAGAGATAATACATACCCTAGATAGACACCGAAAATGTAAGAATGGGCAACACTCTTGGGACGTAACAGAGCGTAGCTTTGAGTATTAGGTAATCCGCTGTGCCCATCTATACAGGCTGATTCACGGTGGATGGCACATCAGACGTTTCTGAAGAACGCAACGTAGGATTATACTGAAATTTGGTTTCTTGGATAATTAGTTTTGTTCTATCCACCTAAAATATTCTCAACACTGCGACGTTGCCGCTTACATTGAAAAGTAGCAACATCTTTGATTGTTTGAATGGGACACCCTAGGGTGTGAGATATTTTTCACCTTTACAACTTCTTGTGTCGAAACTATTCATAATTAGTCAAAACGGTTTTTATGTCCTAATCTCAACTTTTCATGTACTATCAATTGATATTTAATTGAAATAGATACAGGTTGGTTGAAAATCTTAATTCTGAACCACCCTGTACCTATTTCAATTTCAACTTACTAACGATGGCGTTAGTAGCTTTTGGCATCTGATGAGTATACGTAGTCCTACTGGTCACTTGCGGCAACCTCCTGGTCACGTGGGGCAACCACTTTTTTTGAAAAAAAAATTGGCGATTCAGATTTTTTCTTATATTCCTCATTGTTTTTATGATGTTTCTGGTCACATAATATATTTTCAGAAAATAAAATCCCAAAAAACACTAATTCCGGGCTCAAAGGGTTAAATATCAATTGATAGTAAATGAAAAGTTTAGCTAGGGGCATGGAAACCGTTTTGACCAATTATGAATAGTTACGACACAAAAATCTTCGAGTTGAAAAATCTAGATTTTTCAAATCCTATATCTCTATAATTATCACTGCTTACTCTTCATGGAGAATCTGAAAATGGAATAATATACAGGGTGTCCCATTTGAAAAATCAAAGTTGTTGCTACTTTTTAATATAAGCGGCAACGTCGCAGTGTTGAGAATATTTTAGGTCGATAGAGCAGATTTCAGAGCTTTGCCAATTTCTTCACAGGCGTTGTCTATCTAATCTTTGCGCGGGCCAACTTCCCGGTGAAATAGAAGTCTCGTACTTTATGAACCCCAAAGTTTCAACTTGAGATTCTGTTTTCCAACATCAAAGTAGGTAGGTACCGATACGAATGTCGCAAAAAAAACAAACCAAATCTAATGAAAAAAAAAGGGTAATTTATATTCCATGTGATCAGATGAATTGTTTTTACTAAAAACTTTTACATTCTGGTCTGATGAAACCATGAACAAGTACCTACCCTAGGTTACGCCGTATATAGGGCCAACACTTCTCATGCACAACCGATCGATCAATATCATGTTTTTCATGACCCATTGTTACATAACAGAAAACTTCCAGAGATGAATTCAGGTAAGAAAAGTGCTTTGTTAAAATACCGAATACCAAGTTGACATAAGCTGTTATTCGTCTTTCGAAGGGCACCAGGTGTTTTATCATCCTTGAGGTTTAGGTATGCTATTGAAACGATTCTTTTTGACGAAGTTTCACAATGAACAAGGAATGGGTATTCTCTTCTTTTCACTTCGGATTTCTTGGAAAAACACTGGACTAGAAAAATGTGTCAGAAACAAAATAGATCCTCAGATAAGAGTTGCATAACTCGCCAGCAAAAACTCCAAATTCAATTTAATACTTTAAAACGGTTTGACATTTTCTCGCCTCGTTTCTATAAATCAAAATAAGAGTCATAATTATTTCAATATATGATGTGTAGTAAGGACAAATCAGATGATTTGCCCTAAAATGTTGAAAAACTTCACTATTACAGAGCCTACAAGGAAAATTCAATCGATTGTCAGTGACACCTTTTTTTTAAATGTTTTTTTCATAGTTTCCAACGTTTCGGGAACAAATCTGCTCCAGTTTTCAACATAAAAATGGAAAAATCAACCTACTCTTGGCAAATTGTCTTCGAATTTCTATACAGACATGTTTTATTCAGATGCACGTGTTCTTGTTATGGTCAGTCAAATCTACTTTTCGAATCCTCAAATACAAATTTCCAGTTGAAATTTTGAAATTTATGATGGTGGATAAGTTGTAGTTTCTCGTTCGGTATTTGGAACAATGAACGCTAGGTGTTTCGGGGTCCAGTATTACAAATTTCCAGTTGGAATTCGGGAATTCAGTGATATGAATTTTCAGATTGGTTTGGAGAAATTCGAGAGGCCTTCGAGATGTGACCAAAAAACTTTACTATGTGGTGAATAAGTGACAAATTATACGAATATACTCGTATATATCTGTCACACTTGTTGAGGTTTATGGATGGGTTTTTAATCATCATACTCGACAAAATTATACTTGACGAATATTCAACTAAGACTGAGACTTTTTCAAATACCTTTGTTCATTAGGAATAACTGGGCGTGCCATCAATAAGAAAATCATTGTTAAAATATTTAACGCACTTTCCTGGCTAATACTACAGACTATTGAATCATATCAGTTATTCTGTATCGAAAAATAATATATCTTATGCTGAGAAAATATTTTCTCTATATTATTTATTGAAAAATAGTTATATATTCATCATCATCATTCTGAAGAGTAAGCACTCACTACACTGTTTTACCACTAACCAAACCGATTTTTTAACGCCTCGACACGTGTTTCGCTAACTATGTTAGCATCTTCAGGAGAAGATTAAAACTGAAAGTATTGTTTTATAATTTTAGATAATTCGATAATACGGTTTTGAAAATTCAAGCCAATCATGCTGGTAACACATGGAGTTTCAAATATTTCAGTATAAATACCTATAAAACCTTCCCTTTGTATAGAAGTTTGTGGTCGAACAATAAGTAATCTACTACGTTAGGTAACCTTCATTATTTAATATTTAATGAAAACCTAATGATAGGTATTTAAGAATTAATAAAGGAACATTATAAAGGCACACGCTGTACGAATACGGCATAAGTCGACCAACCAAAAAATTAAATGGTTCAAATTAATTATCCCCACAAAAAGTGCTGAATATATTGATTAAGTTGAGAAAATATCACTAATTAGTTCAAAATTGAATGCCTAATGAGCATTATATTTAAATTGCTTCTTTAATAAAGTACAGGCGAGTTTTAATGAATGGCAAAAAACGTTTTCTGGTTCAGTTTTGATGTTTACCGTTCAAGCTCAGGTTAATTATTAATTCCTTCTGTCAGTATTGGTAGGTAGCTCATTCACTAATTACTACTTCCTGTGAGACGGCTGGAAGAGGATATGGACTCAGTTGTGGGTCATAATATACCGACAAACACCTATACAGACGTTCTGTATAAGAAAGCTCGTAAAAATCTCAACCATTGACCAATATTATTATCTATATATTATATATTATATTATTATTAATACTAATACCGATGTGAGATTTTCACACGAAATTAGTATATCCAATAATTATATTCAATATAGCTATAGTTATGTTTTTGGATGTATGAAACATTGATATTCATCATACAGGACGTGAAAAGAAATTCTGAATTGAAAATATCAATTCTTAATCGGTTTATTCAACAGAAAACAAGTTCCAATAAGCTCATCAAGATCATAGTTTGTACATATCTATGTCCTAGAATGAAAGTAAATAAGTACAGGAAACATTTTGATTTGAAAAAAGAATGCTTACGTGGAAAAAAAAATTTGGGTTATGTCTTAAAGTTAGTAGGGATTAAGTAGGGTATCA